TCTCCCTGGCCTGTCTGCACTCACTCTTTCTACAGCTCATCTCTAATTACCCTGATGAGATCCACCTGCTGTTTTCTTAAGGAGGACTGATTGTGGTTGCCTACTTAAGCTGCAGCCAGACATCTCTCCAGTGCTGGGACAACTTCTGCCTATGGGTAAACTAGTGTCCAGTCACTAACCTGTTCCCTTACAGCAGATTCTGATCGATGACTTTCCTCTCCAGGACTTCCATGTCCTGGTCCTCTGAAGTCTTTCCACGGGCCTCGTCCAGCACTCCACGGTGCACCTACAAAAGCAGCAGAGTCTGGTCTCATCAGCGGTTAAACAAATTACTGGATCTACCTGTTCCTCTCTCCACCGTGTCTCACCTATTCATCTCCATCGAAACCAGGACTTCAACTCTCCCTCGGCGCCTTCCCCTATAACAACAAGTAAGACAACTTTGTTCATCTCAAGAATCTAAGTCAACAATATTGGTTACTCACCTCTACACCATTCTTTTCCAGCTCGTCTCTCCAACTCACCTGTAAATAAAGAACACTTATTTTGTATTCCTGGTTGTCGTGTCTTCTTCCTTGGTCTGCCACTTCGGGGTCCAACATACGACATCATGATAAACCCAGGACTTAGCAAATGCTGACAAATGCCTGGACGCACTCTCAGACTTACCCAAAAAAACAGGCGTCAGCATAAAAAATAGCCTACGAAGCACTACATGAACAAGGCAATGTAAACACGTTCCCTCTGATACAAGTCATGAATGCTACTGGTGGGGGTTCCCAATTTGGACTCGTGTTCAGACTCTGGCCCAAATTTTGGGCCAGAGTTAGGGGAAATTACACATGGAGACGAAATGATGGTACTCCTTGCCCTTATGTAGACGATAACAAGCTGACCGGAGTATACAAGGAACAATGGCAGGCTCTTTGTGAAAGAGTATTCGCCACTTTCAGACGCAAAGCTGACTATGCAGCTTTGTCAGCAGTAAAACAGAAAGCAAATGAGGAAGTGGATGATTTTAAGATCAGTCAAGAGAGAATTCAGAGTGCACAGTGGAACTGATTACGTTGAACAGGCAGACTCAGCTTATCAACAACAATTGAAAAATAGTTTGTTACAGTTTTTTCGCCCAGATATTTCAAATTGGGTGAGAAAGCATCTTGTCGAGATGGATACGCGCTCAATGGAAGTTCTGATGCAATGGGCACGTCATGCTGAGAAAGTGTTGAAGAGGAAAACGGGAAGTGGTGCAGGAGGTAAAACAGATGTGTTTTATAATGATGATTTTGGTGAATCAGAGATTTTTTACAATGGTTCAATGCAGAACAAGAATAGAGGTGGGTTTAGACACAGACACAGAGGTCGTGGGTTTGGCCGACCTCAGCAACAGCAAGATCCAAACAGCTGTTGGAAATGTGGAGAAATTGGACATTGGTCACGTGATTGCCAGAAAACCTTCCCTCAACAATGCAGAGGAAGTTTTCCTTGTAGAAGAGGATTTCCTAATACAGGAAATCACTCTAACAATAGAAGTGGTAATAATGCATGATTAACTCCCAGCACACCCAGGGCAAGTACAGACACTAATGATGAAGTTGTCAACATTTGCTCGGCTTGGGATTTATTAAATGCATTGAAGGAAAAACCCTATGTGACACTTAAAGTTAACACTATGAATGTTAAGTTTCTCTGTGACACAGGAGCATGTAAGACAGTCCTAAAAACACATGTTCCTGGCTTACATGCACCACATAACTCAATTTGGGTAAAATCAGCTGACGGACTAACAAACAGACAAAACATTTCCAAGCCAGTGTGTTTCACAGACAAAGAAACAGGACTCTAGGTTTCTACCAATGTTGTGATCTCACCTGACTGTCCTATAAATCTATTGGGCAGAGACTTAATGGCAAGACTGGGCATAGCAATAATTCCAATTAAAGATGGAATGCGGGCCACAAGGCCAAAAGACACACAGATCTATGCAAATCAGGAGGTACATGGCATCTATTGTTCATATAACCTAGGATTAACCCAAAACTTGACGACTGCTTCACTTTTAATGCAGGAAGCTGGACGAGCGATGGAAAATTTTGATGACCAGATGCCTTTGAGCCAACTGCACGTGACAATGAACGTGTTGAAACACGATGACTGTATGGTATAAAGTTTATTCATTTTTAAAAAGTACAAAACAATTCCATAACAATATAAAAAAGATACAAAAGATTTAAAATGAAAGGCAGCAGAAAGAAGAAAAAATCTTATTATATCTGCCCCTTTTTTCAAACAATTATTTCAATCATAATAATTTTCAAGTAACAGAACAAAATGAATAACTCTTTCTAATTTTTCTAATTCTAATACAAAACACACACTAAGCTACTTCATTTTTTTTTTTTAACAATTCAGCTTTGATCTTTTTCTTAAATGTACACATTGACTTGGCATTTTTTTACATCACTCTCTAGACCATTCCACAATCCAACTCCTTGGATTGAGGTAGACCTTCCCTTCAGACTAGTTGTGAATTTTGGTTTGACAAAAATCTCTATCCTCTTGAGATTGTAACAACTTTGTCTTTTAACAAAATTTCTTTGGATATTTAATGGTAATGTGTTACTTTGAGCCCTATACATAACTGATAAAATACTGTAATCTACCAAATCATGGAACTTCAATAACTTCAGTTGATAAAATAATGTGCTAGATGGGTGACTGTAATGCTTTCTGGAGATAATTCTTATAGCCCTTTTCTGTAAAATAAAAATAGGTTTTGTAAATGTTTTACACGCTTTCCCCCAAATATCAATGCAATAGATTACATGTGGAACAATGATTGTGTTATACAACATGTACAGAGCTTTATCATTTAATAATTCCCTGACTTTGTATGGTACTGCAATAGATTTAGCTATTTTTGTTCTTACAGAATTGATGTGATTTTTCTATTTTAGCTGTTCATCAATGAATACACCCAAAAATTTCATCTCATTAACTCTACAAATCTCAACACCCTCAATTTAAATGGATCGTCAACAGTTTTCTTTTTGTTACTAAATATCATGTATTTAGTTTTATCTAAATTTAATGATAATTTATTAATTTTAAACCAAGTTTGTATTTTATCAAATTCTGTCTTCATCAATTCCATCATCCGTTTTACATCTTTACGCAAACAAAAAAAATGTGGTGTCATCTGCAAAAAGGACACATTTGAGGAGTCCTGATACATTCACTAAGTCATTCACATATAAAATAAATAACTATGGGCCAAGTACAGAGCCTTGAGGAACTCCACAAGTGATATTGCACAGGTCAGATCTTAGACCATTTATTTGTACAAACTGTTTCCTATCTTTTAAATAGCTATATACCCAGTGTAATGCTGGTCCTCTTAAACCATATTTGTTTAATTTTCCAAGGAGAATAGTGTGGTCAATAGTATCGAATGCTTTTTTTAAATCAACAAAAATACTAACACAATACTGTTTTTGATCGACAGCAGTAGTTATTTGTTCTATTATTTCCATGAGAGCCATTGATGTAGAGTTTTTTGCTCTAAACCCATACTGACTGCTACTTAGAATGTTTTGTTTAGTAATAAATTTATCTAATCTGGTCACAAATAGTTTTTCTAGAATTTTTGAGAACTGTGGTAATATGGATATTGGTCTATATTTATTGAACACACATTTATCACCATTTTTAAAGAGAGGAACTACCTTTGCTACTTTCATATTGTCTGGAAATATTCTTTTTGAAAATGATGTAGTAGTCACGTAGGTACGTGCCACTAGTTGTAGTATGACAATATATGAGATATATATGCATACTTTTTCACGAGTTCCTCATCTTTCTGACTGTGTAATGTCGTGCATTGAATTTAACAGAAATGTAACGAGAGACGTTATTTATCTTTGACCCATCAAAATGAATGCGGTCATTTATTTTCAGAATCAAAGTTTAACATCAAACATTTACATTAATTTGGCAAAATATGAAAATAATAACAGACAAGTTTCACAGAAAAGGGACATCGATCACTCGGCGGTGAACGA